GTTTCAGGCTCAGGATTTTTTTTTACTTTAAGCCCTGCATATATTCACACTAACCTATCATACAACTAAACAAATCAAGAGACCGGCATGATTTTACCTCACCCAGGATACAAAATACAGGAAGACCCTTCTCCCTGGAGACCACCGCATGCGTTCTGGCCCGCTAACTCTTCAGGGTAGCCTTTTGTTCCCCGGAGGTGTGTCTAACTCTACTTCTACTGTATTTGAACTGGGCAGTGCCCCTAGCGGCCTGGTTGAATAATTTACAACTATGGAAGCCTGTAACAGAGAGTGTTATTCTAACATTTTGCTGACCTTTTTGTAAGAAGTCTGTTTTAGATCAAAGAGGTGTTATATGTGTTATATATAACATGTATAATACATATGTGTTTTATATATATGTATATAGCAATGTTGTTGAAATTGGGGAAATACATTTCATACATAAAATTGTTAAATTTTAGCTTACCTTTTAATTTACCTTGAATGTAAAATACCATCACAAGACATTAATTGCAGTAATAAATATTATATAATACTAAATTGAAACTGTTTTTTTAAAGGTTTTTCTTTTAGTTAATTTATTATTTTTATCTTAAAAAAGTGTGTTGCTGGAAAAGTTAAAAACCTACCTTGAACAAGCTTGAAAAGTGCTTGAATTTGCCTGGGGGAAATGTACACGAAGCCCTTTTTTAAGACCAGGACTGTGAGGTAATTTCTTCACCTTCTACTCCTTCATGTGTTTCTTGTTTCCCTCCCTCCTGGCTGCGGCCACTGCTGCTGTCCCACCCTGACTCGTCTTCGTGTGTCTCCTCTGTTTTCCTCAGAAACTGGCCGTGTTGAAGGACGGCTTCCGGCTGAATTCTGGCTCCCAACAGGAGCTGTGGGGCAGCAGTCCGTCGCTCTCCAACTCTGAGACGTCCATCCCTCGCCTCTACTCCGACGTCGGATCCCAAACCGACCTCCCAGCTGAGGTTAGTACCAGAACAAAATGTCACCCCCACTTCCTGCTCTAAATGTAGTTTTATTTACCTATGTATTTGTTTCTTTAAAACTTTCCTAATTTCGTCAAATTACCAGGGTTCATTTAGTTGATTTAAATCTTGATGAAAGCATTTCTTGTTTTACATGCAAAAGCTAAATAAATGGTCAATTGGAGTGATACTGAAACAAAAACTATTGAAGCAAGGCTGTCAAAGCAGGTTTGTGCTTCTGCGCTTTCCTTTCTGGCTTTTTAACATATTTTCTTTTTTTGGCACGTAGTCAAAGCTTGAGTTGTGGCTCTGCCCCTCCAACATGCAAGTAAAATCAGGATTTAGATCCCCAATTTGCAAACTCACCAAATTTCAAGGTGATGAATTAAAATGTCTAAAACGAGTTCAGTCAAATGCAGAGAATAGAAACTTCAAAAATGGGGTAAAAATTCTTCAAAATCCCAAGTTCAGTCACTGCTGGTTTTAGAAAGTTCTAAAAGTTTACAGAATGTAATAATTGTACAATAAAGTAAGCTAAATGAAGTTTGCTGGATGTGCCGTCGAGCCATTTCTTTTGCAACTTTTTTCAAAAATCTTTAAAGTATGTAAATTTCTCACACTTTACTGCAGAATTTGGTGAGTTTTCTTATATATTTAGAACTAAAAAAAACCCAAATTCATTTGCCTTTCACTTTTTGGGCCTATTGACATGACATCTTAGTCACAAGAATATGATTAAAGCTAATTAAAATTGTTGGTTAAAGCTAAAAAGAAATTGTATTTGATGATTTTCGAAGTATGGAAAAGGATGGAGAGACAAACATGACTGTGGAATTAAAAGTTCTGAATTTTATTTTTTAGTCCACTTTGTAACATTTTTAAAATGAGAATTTACCGAAAAGCATGAAGGGATATTCATGTTGCTTTACTTCCCTGTCATTAATTACCTTTCAAAAATAAAAATAGAAAATTGGGGCTTTTTAATAGCTAGACTTTTTTAATTGAGGGATTCAAACATATCTCTAAGTTTATTAATTTAGGTTCAGTTATGATGCTGAAAGAAGCTTTTTTTTTTCATTTTTGTAAAGTTAAGTTATGTGTAAATGAATATTTTGGCCTGTGTTTGAAACACTGTGTGTGGAGGAAAACCCACTTTGCACCACATCTCCCTGGAGACATGTGGTGGTGGCAGGATCATGCTGGGTGTGGATGTTTTCTAAATCCAGAGCAAGGCTTGTGTCTGGGGTCTCAGTAGAATTGTTCAGACCAAAAATAAATTGGAAATATGGGTTTTAGCTACTTTGTTGAGAAGAATATGCTAAAATGTTGAGCTCTGGCTATTTCCAGAGTTTTATTTAAGTAATTATCATTTGTCCCCCAAAATACATCAAATGTTTGTTATTGCAATGTGGCAAAATGTGAAAAAGTATGAACACAGTTACAGAACCTTGTATGAAGAAAAATCTGAGCATTCATTATGTTTCTTTCTTTGGTTTTTCAAACCAGTTTACGACCAGCAGCAACAAACTGGCAGAGAAAGTTCGTCTGAGCCTGAAGTATGATGAGGCAAAGAGAAGGTAATGGATTTGATCTGAAAGCTGCTTTAAAATCTGAAACTTCAATCTTTCATTTAGATGTAGCTAAAACATTTTCCCCAACATTGGATCTCACTATCAACCAGACGTTGAATGAAATTATTCACTGTTAGCATGAATGTAATGAATGTCACAATAAAAGCCTTTTCAATGTTTGTTAAAAACACAAATATCCATATCAGTAAATGCTGACCTGTCAGGGATTTTCTCCAAGTCGACTGTCCTGTCGTTTTTCTGAAGGATCGCCAGCATTGAGGTACAGATTGCCAAACTGGACAGCGAGGCGTGGCCGGGGCTGCTGGACCCGGAGCGGGACCGCCTCATCCTCATCAACGAGAAGGAGGAGCTGCTGAAGGAGCTGCAGTACGTCAGCCCACGGAAGCGGCTGGAGCCCAACGATGCTGAGAAGCTAGAGACGGAGAAGAAACGCCTGGAGAGAGACCTGCAGGCTGCCAGAGACAACCAGAGCAAGGCGCTGTCTGAGAGGCGAGTGGACCACTGGGAAATATCAATAATCTAGTCCGTTTAGACGCTTTAGCCCTTCATTTTAGATTTTCCAGAATTTTCTGCTGTATTTTAAAGTGTTTTAGGGTGTTAACACACCTCATAGTCCAGTAGACTCAGTTTAATTGGAACCAAAGTTGGAACATTTCTTACATTTTCAGGTTGTGCACTTTGTCAAACAAACCAAACTCCTTGAAAAACCTCTTCCCCTCCTTGCCTGAGGTGGAGCTGCAGCAAGAACCACTGAATGAAACATGAAAACCTCTGAAGAAGAAACCGAGCGAGTTCACATTTCTTCTTCATGAAATCTGAACAAAAATGAAGTGGCGTCAGATTTTATTAGTTCTAGACTTTTTCTTTTCTTTAGTAAAAAAACACCTCACAAGCCTTTCGTCCTGCTAGTGTTAGCCTCGCTCATTTGTTTTGATTGTTTTTACCCAGAATGCCCTGCGCTGTATTCCACTTCCTGCTTTGGGAGTGATCTTCGGCTTGCTTGACATTTACATATGCATTCCAAACGCAGCAGAGTTCTACGGAGTCCCTAAGGGAACACGAAGAGAAAAAAAAGAAAGAAATCCTGACTTACTTTCTCGAGTTCCCGACTTTTTTTTTTCTCGAGATCCCGACTTTTTTTTTTTGAGATCCCGAGAAACTTTACCCGGATCAGGATCAGTACATAACGACATAATCACAGCAATAGAGGACACACACCCATTGGCTAGATATATAGATTTTTATTTCAAGCTTGGGCTTGAGTAAAAAACACATCAAATCAGAGCTTGACAGCAGACATGGGTTTTGTATAAGTGAGAGACATCTGAAGAGAGTTTTCAGTGCGCGGGGACTCATTCAGCGCAAGTCCTATTCCGACTTGGCAGTTTTGGTTGAATTCATTAATAACCAGGTGCAGTCCTCTGGACAGCTTCACGGTTACCGATGGATGTACGCTAAATGCAGAGAGCATGGACTTCGTGTGAGAAAAGAAGATGTGCACTTGGTGTTGAAGGAATTGGCTCCCTGAGAAACCAAGTCAGGATCTTGACTTAGTTTCTCGGGATCTTGGGAAAATAAGTTGGGATCTTGAGAAAAAAAAACGGTAGGGATCTGGAGAAAAAAGTCGGGATCTCGAGAAAGTAAGTCTGGATTTCTTTTTT